CCGTGCCGGCCCGGGACGGGCAATGGGCCCCCACCCCGCGGTGCCGCGCCCGCCCCTCGCTCAGCCAGTGAGCGGGAACCGGTCTGTTTGTGGGATCCGAACCCTCGGCGGGAGCGCCGCCGCGCTGCCAAGCAGCGCACTGTAGCAGTGCACCACCGGGCCGGCCCCTTTATAATTATTTTAATTCTCTATATAACTACTGTTACTTCTCTCAGCCAGTATAAACGGACTATGCTTACAGCTGCAGATGCGTAGCTCTTCCTGTGAACTCTAGATTTCTTCTGTTTTCATAGAACTGAATATAGAAGAAAGCCAAGTATGATAGAATTACTGACATATATAAGAATCCACTTTATTTCTTGGTGTGGATGACTTTGGTTTAGATCCAGAGATAAAGTGCATTTTTTTCATTAAATATATCTTACAGGAAGCAGAATCTGGTAACATAAGTCAGAAATCTGATGAAGAAGACTTCGTGAAAGTTGAAGATTTACCACTTAAACTGACAATATATTCAGAGGTATTTGGCTCTCTTTATTTAAACTTGTCTTTATTTGACAAATATTGTTAATATGAAAAATGATTTGTATGTTTAATTTTCATTCCAAAGGCAGATCTAAGGAAGAAAATAGTAGAAGAAGAACAGAAAAACGATTTACCTGGTGAAATATGTGAAATGCAGACAGAAGAATTAGCTGGAGATTCTCAGACACTAAAAGAACCTGGTAAAAGTAATCAATTTTAATCATATTGAAAATTATTGAATCTTGATACTACCATATTACTTGATTTTTAAATGTGCTACTAGTACCTGGGAGAGTTAAGCCAAATATTGGAAAGGATGCATAATTCTGTAAAAATTTTAGTTCAGCCGCTTAATTTATAAGTCAGTTTTGTCAGATAATTTTCTCTATTTTTAAAATCTTCAGTTTTAGTAAAATAATTGATGTGTGCACGTGGTTTAAGAAAGAAATGTACAAAAAAGTTAATGGTAAATAAATAGAATCTATTTTCAAAAATTATTGGCTTTTAGTTCTTTTGGAGGAGACCCAGTATAATTGTAAAAAAATTTCATAATGTTTACAATTCAGATAACTTTTCCTTTCTCCCCTATGACAAGTGTGTATTTAGACCAACCTCTCCTCCTTCTCTGTGTTCATATTACTTTTAGTTTTTCTGTTTTTTACCTTCGTTATTTTAAACACATACATTTTTCTAGTTTCTTTACCTTTGGTCATTACCCCTCCACTGCTCCTTCCCCCACTTCCTTTCACTTTCTCTGTTCAGTTTTACTCATATTCATACATTATTAAGGGTATTACAGTAAACACACTTACACTTTATTTTTGTAACTATAATAATTAAATTTTCTATGCTTTTCCTGGGGATTATTCTATATAAATATCATTCATTGTAGAGCCAAGTGATAGTTCCAGATTGTCTTATTTATGATTTTAATTGCAGAACCCCTAGGCCACTCAGAGATTGTTTCTTGCATCAAGATCATAGGATTTTTTTTTTTTTTTTTGGTTATTGTCCATCAATTATTCAATTGATTAAAATCATGTATGGGTTTTTTTTTATTGTTTTTGTTTTTCCAGGAAGTGGGGTGAGGAGAAGAGCAGGCCATTAGATATCAAACCTTCAGTTTAATTTCTCACTTTTCAGCCCAGTTCTGCCTCTCAACTGCAGCCTTTCATAGTGTTTCTAGGCTGCAGCTTCCTCCTCTGTCTTTCAGTATGCCTCCATCTGCTTTGAGTGTTCTGGTAATTTGTTGATATTTCCTGTTCTTTGTTCTCTCACAGCCACTAGTGTTTTGTTGGTTTAGATTAGTTCCTTTTTGTAGTTATTTTCTTTTTTTTCATCTTGGGTTTTTTTGGGGAGTCTGCCTTCTTGAAACAGAAAGTCACACCTATGCTTTTTTACTGTGTGTTACCTATCAAGGAGTTGTTTTAACAAGCTAAATTAGGGTTTCCTTTAAAATAACCTTATTTTAAAAGTAAAAACTTTAATGGGAGACAACCATGTTAAAGTAAATTCTAGTAAGTAATGTTTTAATTCAATAAGTACTTTATAAGGCATTGTTCTGTTTTTCAGAAACAGTGGGAGCCAGATGTACATGAGATGTCTTCGGAGGCTCATCTAACTCTCTCTTTACTTAGTCAATGCATATATGACATGACACTAAATAAACATCTGTTTTGATCTGTATAAAAATGTAAATTTGTTTGACACTGCATTTTTGATAGGTGTGTTAATTTCTGCCCATGGCAGTTTAAAACATCAGAAACTTAATTCTGCATAGATTTACGACTTGATACACTGTGGTTTTTTTTTTTTTTTTTTTTTTTTTTTTTGTCTTGATTTTTTTTTTCCCCATTGTGTTTTTTGGTAACATTAAATTTAAAATGTAGTTTTAAATAAAGTTTGGACTTACCTGTGAAGTATGTTTTTTGGAAATTATGTTGAATTCTATACAGCAAGTCACTGTTCTATGTAATTGTAGGCTATTCAGAGAAGGACAGTGGTCAAGAGTTAGGGACATATTTATTCTAAAGCCCAGCCATTAGGCCAGTCTTCCAAATAATGCAGATGTTGCTGCTGTTGGGTCTTATGTTCTTTTAGATTACCTGCAGGTCCTATTCCTGTGCAAGAATAGGGCAGGTTATAAAGGTATCCAGGATACCTGGAAAATTATTGTAGAATATATATATTAATAATCCATTCAAATTGGATAATAAATTAAGTTTAGAACATGTCATTCATATGTAAAACTTACATAATTATCTATTAGATAAATATTTTCCAGAATTTCAAATTCTATCTACATTGCCTTCGTCTAAAAATAAAAAATTAAACTTCATGTTAGTATATCTTTTACAGACAAGTAACATTGTGATAGATTTTAAAGAAAAGCTACATTTTTTCAAGTAGGGATAAATAGAACTAAATTTATGTGACAGAACATTAAGATTCTGTATGCCTTCAGACAAACTTGCTTTTGAAATGTTTAAAGAGCACAACATAGCAGTTGCTTTTATGTGTAGTGAGGGAGAGAAGCAGGTTAGCAGATGAAGTGTTGAGTAAAGAAAATGTATGTGACTTCATCACTAAGTAAGTCAACTTTAAAAGGTGATTTACCTTTTTCTCCCAAACTTGCCGTATACTCAGTAAGGCTTCAAAGAGGCAGTTAATAACGAATAAGTCAACCTTACAGATTCTTCCTTGAATAAAATATGAAGGATTCGTTCCAAGTAGTCTTCTATATTTGTTAACAGTTGACTGAAATACCCCATAAGAAAAGAACTTGGTTGGTAATTCCTTTAAAATTCTTACTTGCTTGATACCTCAGTGTAAAACTATAATGTTCAATCAGGGAGTATTAAATGAGGATTTCCTTATGAAGACATTCACTGTATTGCTACTTTATTTAAATTGTGTAAGACATATATCTCCAACTTTAATAAAACCTACTCAGAAAACTGCCAGTCCAGAATCAGGAATTCTTATCCAGTTGGCTTAACTTCAGGGAAAGTGGAACAATAAGTTACATTATATATATACACCCAAGTTCTATATTTCCTAGACTCTAAACAGAAAGAGGGAAGAAATCCACAAACTTCATTTTGGTACCAAGCCTTACACATTGTGGCTGTCTTTCTCTCTCTCTCTCTGCATGCATATTAAAGATAGGTACAGTGGGAGAATTTATTTATGTCTTAGTTATTACCGTAGTACCTATGAACCCTGTCAAACTTGCTTATTTGACTTGTGTTGTAGCTGCTGTTATCTGTTATTTTTTTATTTTAGTACATAATTCAGTTTTAAAATACCTAGGGCTTGAGACCAGATAATTTATTTAATATGTTTTCACTAGTAAATATTGCTAAATGTTTAGGCATTAAGCATTTCTGTTTGTCTTAATTTTTAAGTTAAAACTTTGGTTAGAGATAGAACAAGAAAAGGTCCAAATGAGTGAGAGAGAACCCAAGCAGGTTGAGAAAATGTCTAAAAGAATAAGCTAGCCAGACTGGAGGTACTCTTTGTACTTTGTAACAATTACTTTGGGTAAATGCTTTTTCACTGTTAATAAAAGTATATCCCGCATACAACCCTGGTTGCATTTTCATTTAATTTGACATGCTCATTTATGCTTTAGAATTTATTCCAGAATCTTGGCTTATTTGACAGTTTTAAATGTTATTTGAATATCCAGAAAAGATTTGTTCAGGTTGAGACCATTTTTCTTACAGTGAACATATACTATATTATTTCTTAGTTATATTTATTTTTTATATGCTGTTCTAAGAACGTAAACGTTAGGTATGGTGTGGTAAAGTCAGTGAAGCTACAGAAGGAAATGAGAATGAGACTTGGAAGGAAGTTTATCATACTCACAGGTCAAGGGGTGGGGTTGGTCACCACATGCCACATTGGGTCATAGGGGAAAGCAGGTTTTGATCAGGTGGCAGAAGACAGTAGTGAGGGGAAAGCTGCATAGAACCTTTATTGAGGTTTCCTGGGAATGGCAAGGCAGTACAGAGTAAACAGTTTAGGATTTAGCTACTTTGAATAACTCCTGTGGGCTTTGGGATACAGGGGTGATCTCTAGTTGCCTCATACCATGCCCTGGAATGATTTAGGGTAGGGGAAATAATAGCTTTGTGTGTGAGAGTTAGATAAGTAGGTGGTTGGGGCCATTCGCCTGAGATTGGTTGGTTTGCATGAAAGACCTGGTCCTGGCTGCGATCTTTGCTAGCCCTGGGAGGAGCAGTCTCTCCCTGATCAGCAAGCTTTTTAAGATGTCAAAATGTAGTAAAATATAGAAAATAAAAGGTGTGATTAATACATATACTATGTAGAGAACATTCTCATATTTACAGAAAAATAGACTGACTTGTTTCTTGTCCAACTTTCTTTAATATAAACAGCTCATCTGTCAAAGGGATATTGGTTCTGGATTTTACTTACCTCACTATACAAATATGATTGCCCAGTAGCCTTGACTGGAACAGCCAGCATTTGCTGTTGTTTTTGTTGTGCAACTCTGTTCTTAACATTCCCAGTCTTTACATGTCTGGTTTCTTCCTCAGATTCACTGGTGTCACTGGCTGGCTCATATTCTGAAAATTAAGGAACAAAGGGAAGCTCTAGGCCTGTGGATGACTCTGATGAATATGTACACGTTTGAGCAATTTAAAAAAACTAATCACAGCATAGTTTCCATCGATGGAGTTGTATTATTTTTCTTGGGGTTTTTTCCATATGTAATTTTTAATTTTTAGTAGCAAATTAAAAAAGGTTTTATTGATCATATTAATATAATTTAACATATTCTAAATATAATTTAAACAGGTAATTATGTAAATATGTATTTTGCATTTTTTTGTTATAGCTCTTTGAATTTTAAATTAAAAGGTATAGCTACACATCTGCAAATATTATCAATCATTTATATAATTGTATGGCCAGTACATTTAACATAGTAAGTTTTTAAAAAATTTTATTTTTTTAAATTGAAACATTGATTGTACCTATTTATGGGGTACAGATTTATATTTCAATGTGTGTATACAATGTGTGATGATCAAATCAGAGTAATTAGCATATTCATTATACAATATGGTATACAAATCAGGGTAGTTTGCAAATTCATCATTGCAGAAATTATTTCTTTGTGATGAGAACATTTAAGCTCCTCTCTTCTAGCCATTTGAGAACATACAATAAATTATTGTTAATTATAGATGTCTAGCACTACAGTATACCTCTAGAACTTATTTTTCCTATCTAGCTGTAATTTTGTGCCCATTAACCAACCTTTCACTGTCTCCCCTCCTTTTAACCCCCTCCCCCTTCCCCTCTTGCCTTTCTCCTGCCCTTCTCATCCTCTAGTAACCACAGTTCTATTCTCTGCTTCTAAAAGTTCAACTTATTTTTTTCAGCTCCCACATACGAATGAGAACATACAGTATTTATCTTTCTGTGTCACTTGTTTCACCTAACATAATGCCTTACAGGGTGATCCATGTTACCACAAATGACAAGATTTCATTCTTTTTCATGGCTGAGTAATATTCCATTGTGTACATACACATTTTCTCTATTCATTCATCTGTCACCTAGGTTGATTCCATATCCTGGCTGTTGTGAATGGTACTGCAAATATCTCTGGTATGCTAATTTCCCTTTCTTTGGATAAATACCCAGCTGTGGGATTACTGGATCATATGGTAGTTAAATGTTTTTTGAGGTACCTCTATACTGTTCTACATAACGGCTGTACTAATTTATGTTCCCACCAGCAGTGTATAAGAGTTTCCCTGTCTCCACATCCTCACCAACATTTGTTATTTTTTGTCTTTTTTTTTTTTTCCTTTTTGTCTTTTTTCGTGACCAGTAACGGGATCGCAACCCTCGGTGTCGCGCCCGCACCATGCTCAACCAGTGAGCAGACCGGTCTCTATATGGGATCCGAACCCTCGTCGGGAGCGCAGCCGCGCTCCCGAGTGCACCACCGGGCCGGCCCATTTTTTGTTTTTTTGATAATTGCCATTCTAACTGGGAGGAGATGATAACCTCATTGTGGCTTTGATTTGCATTTCCCAGACGATTACTGTGTTAGTCTGTTTCTTTAGCTTAGAATAGAATACCTGAAACTGGTAATTTGTAAAGGAATGGAACTTATTTCTTACAGTTTCAGAAGCTGGGATAGTCTTAAGTCCATGGAACATACCTGGTGAGGGCCTTCATCTACAG